AGAGCCGCTCAACACATTTCAAAGTTAAGAACAGAAGATGAGGACGGCACGAAAAGGTCATATGGCTAAGCCAGCATTAGGTATCAATGTCTACGGATACAAGTTCAATACAAAGTACACGATTCATCACTTCGTGTTAAGAATCCACTTGAATACCTTTACGTCAAACCGTCTGTCATTGATTCGCATTATTCAACAACAAGCAGCATCACATTTTCAAACGACCGTGCAGCTAGCACCGGGGCTATTCAATCGTCCGAACAGCCATACCCAGATCCGGGAGCGGCTTGTACGATTTATCGGCGTTGAGCCTGACGACTGGAGCTCTGCTGCCTCCCCCCCCCCCCCCTCCCCGCGCCCGGTCCCACCCCGCCTCCCACCTCCCGCCTCCCGGCCCCGCTTCCCGACCCAGTCCAGGCATCAGTCAGATACGTGCCATGAATACCGCGCACGTGGCTACGTCGTGCCAGGCGTGTCGGAACCCCACTGGGAGAGTCTGAAGACTTAGCTCGACGGTGAGCGAACTGTGAGATGAGTTGGTTCATGACGTGAGTGCGGAGATCTTTGAGCCTCCGAGGGATTGGTGAAGAATTAACAGAATCGGCATCGATGAGCTTATGTAACTCCCTATTAGACTGTTCAAGGGCTTTGAGAGAACGTGACACCAGGAAGCTAAGTGTAAAATGTCTGGTGATGCCATGCCTCAAAATCTTGACGTCGTGCCTCACGGCTGATGACACATGCCGTGGTAAGGTAGGCCACAGCATGCGAAAGGCATGCAATGTGACTGTCTCTCACTTCTCACTGAGGTGAGACAGCGGTAAGAGACCACACCAGCCACATCTCCCGAGCCCCTTGAACGACTATGCTCGTTCTGGCTGCACCATCTTCCCCGATAAGACGCCACATTACGCATACATGAGCGCTGCGAATTATACCGAGCCGCGCCAATGAGCGCCGTGGTACTGGCGTGACAAATTAAACAGGCAGGTGGGGGCCGCAGCGGCAGACGCTCCCTGACAGACATCCTTCCCCGCCCCGACAGCACGTCAGAACCCCGAGACAGCGCTCATCAGACGACGAGACGGGCCACGTCCGGAAAATTGCGAGGCTTGTGTTGTTTAAGTTAATATTGCACGTAATTTTGCGGGAGAGTACCGTTACATAATCATAATTGCTTCGTAGTTTCCGGTTGCTCTCTACTTCCCTATCCAGCCTTCCATTTGGCCCCGGAAGCGGGAACCATTGGCCGGTCCGTGGGTGCCATATCGGTCTGGTCCCGGGAGACCATCGACCAGTGGGCGGAGACCATCGGTCTCTGACAGCAGCAGACCGACTAACGATGTCGACCCGAGGACCATCGGTCTGCTCCTGCCGACGGCTGCCACCGGCCGGCTCCATGAAGCCGGCAGAGACGGCCGGCGCCTTAGGTTTTAAAGCTGCTCGCGCCGGAAGTCATGGGTCATCGTCACTGCTTTTGTCAGCGGCAGACTGGCACTTTTATCGTTAAAACTCTTGTATTAATGCAAAGGCACCAGCGATTATTATAAACGGTAATAAAACTGAGCATAAAGCCGTACCCGGAGCAGAAGAAATCCCGCAAAAAGAATTTCAATTGTTGATACTCTTTAGAATCCGATTGAGTTACACGGCTCCAGTAGGGTACGAGATTCTACGGACCTACTTTTACCAGATCCTATCTCATCGAGTCAACGTGTCGCATGCTATGCGAAGCACGAGACGCAGCCACCCGGCAGTTTATCTTCCCGTCAGTCCGCGCTGTCGTGCACCGCTGCTCGTGCACGTGCAGAAGCGGAGGGCGTGCAGCAGCACAGTGCACGTGTTCCGTCACTGTCGCGCGGGCCTTCTCGGAGGTCTTAGGTCGGCGACCTGACGCAGCTACTGATCACGCCATCGCAGCCCTCTGGCTCTGACTACACGTAACACGGAGAGCGATGAGTGGCTGGTAAATAGGCACAATCACCAACTCTGTCGCGAGATCAACCACATGCTTAAAATGTTATGTTAACTCTCAATGTAGTTTTCTCAGACAGCTTGCACGAAACTGGAGGGTTAACGAGCGCCGCCAGGTTGTTTCCTTCCTTACTTCACGGTCCGCCCTGCAGTATCGCCAAAAGCCCAAATAGCCTTACCACCAAAGGACTCAGCGATGTTAAGCACTAAATATTAATGCTTCTATCCTAGATCAAAAGGCGTGTTGGCTGGTATGCCGATTAATCCGGTCACCAACAACGAACCGAGGAGCAATGGAAATATATCAAAGTTTTCGGACAATCCTGAGCATCCAAAGAATGTCGCGCTGCTAAAAGCAGCTTACTCATACGAAATCACGCGTATATAGCGGTGAAGCTGCACGTGCACAGTGCACGGTATTGCATACCAGTAAATTCATGCGCACTACTGGCTTGTGCACAGCTATATACAAATTCACACATACGGATAATATCGAGTTTTGGACTTGGCACGCATGGACTACGCCTGTCATGGGTGTCCGTCAACTTGCATGCCTAGATTCACATCGACCGTATGCGCCGGACCCAATGGTCGAGTGCCCGTCTCATAACAGTAAGTACGCGCCTTCAGTTCCCCTTTAATAAAAGGTAATTACGTCTACGCAGGTGGGTCGACACACCATTGGGCCACCACAGCTGTAACTGTGACAGGTGACGTGAACATGGCAGCTACACGCACTTAGATTGATACGCTCTATTTACTCTAACCGCAGTGCTGGACACAGTGCTCGTACACTTTGAATCACCCTATCAAAGCTGATTGAAATACGGCCGTATTTTTAGTTCACGCTTCCATGAAACGCATGATAATTGCACGAGTTCGTAGGCATGTGACACACTAGATGATTACAGTAAACACGGATGTGCCCAGTTGACACAAAAGCAGCATTCTGAGCAGAAACTGCACGCTCGGTGCATCAGTTTTGTGTCGCCGTGTGAAATACTGTAGCCTCCCATACCCCTGGCATGCCGGAAACAATGGTGTAAGTTGACAGCCGTGAGAAGTCGCCCAAATGCCAAATATCGGGCACTGCTATCAGACAGTCTGGTGGTTGGTGCACTGTGTGAAAATCCCAGCGCATTTTCACTCCTAACTCGACTTTGCCCGATTCTGTGTGCTTGGTTTACTGGGCGAAAGTAGCGAGAAGTGCAACCGATGCCATGTAGGGCTGATGAAACGGGTGCTCGGCATGCTATGGATCTGTAGTTATTCTTCAGAAACGGCACATAAACACGATTTCTATCACCGACTCTGTGGCACCTGGTGCTTCTAAACCACTTTTTATTACATCAGTATCAACAATATACCTACGGCTCTCGCTGGCAATAGCTGAGGTGTTTAGTCAAAGGTATTTATAGCGGACTCCACAACCAATGCGGTATACAAGAACGGCAAGCTGTGAAGCTTTAAACAAACTACTCGGCATCTGTTGACTGAGACCTTCCAAAGAGCTGCTCTTCCCGAAATCCAGACAGATAGAGTATGGGAGTAGGAGATAATCAAGGGGAGACAGGGAAGCAGTGCTGTTATCGCTTTAAGTTGGATGCAGAGTCGTGATAGGGTTAACGACCCGGAAAATTAAGCCTTCATCATAACGATAAGACGCTACTGTTTCGAAAACGGCACCGCGCCCTCGGCCTCGAGCACAGCAACGCCATATTGCTGACACAAGCACGATATCGATCGAACAGAAGACACCCAGAATAACAGAAATGCAGAAAATGGTAAGCCCATCAGTGGGCAACGATTGCATGTTCTGAACCCATGCAATTAAGCTTAGATTGAATCATACGAAATTGGTTTTGGCTGCACATTGTGTAGGCGCGATAGCAGACACAGACGGTATTTGGGGGTGCGAATCAAACTGGAAACAAATATTCATGGTCGGTTAAAAAACTACCCGGGCTGCAAAAAGGCAACGAAGTGATCTAACAAGCAGTGGCGGCGGAAGCAGGGGGGCAAGGGGGGCAGCTGCACCCTAAAGCTATGGAAAGGGGCGCCTCGAAAATCTGTAGAGGAGGCAGGAAGTTAAGAGGTGCGGCAGCCATAAATAGCTGAGCAGTGCGACACCGCAACTGATAAAGGCACTTGTGACACGAAGAGGGTGGCAATGACGTGGGAAAAGTATCTTTTGATATGCTGAAGAGTGTAGGACATCCTTATCTGAAACAAAGGCAGATGCTGCCGACCCTGTCGAATATAATCTTGCCAGGCGATAAAGGCTAGGAGGGCGCAGCCACTCGAGAAGCGCGCCATGCGGAAGAGGGGCGCCTGCATGCGAAAGAGGGGCGCCTGTGTGTGGGACGAAAAAGAAACATTTATGGAGACGTCTTTGAAGGCGATAGCCTCCGAACACCAACACGAACATATGAGGGCTTATAGCGTTGCAGGCTCCATGCGACAAAAAGGGGCGCCTGATGGCCGATATGCGAGAGGAAATTAGTTTGTGTAACATTTATCGGGAGCGGTTTGCCGTTTACAACATATGAATGTTAAGGGAGGTCCGAGCTTGGGGCCTGTAAAATTGCACTGTCCGTATGGGCGGTTACACCCCTAGTGCTAGGGCGTATTTTGCGTTTTTTTATACTAGGGAGATGATTATGACCAGGAATAGCACTCTGCAAACTTCTATGGGCGCCTGTATAGGGGCGAAACTGATTTTCCAGTGCAGGGACGGCCATCGGCATTGTGGGCCGGCATTCATTCCACTGGGGCGTCTGCTAGTGTTGAAGGGCGGTATTCATTTCAATGGGGCGCCCGTTGGACGTTGGTGTTGATGGGCGACGACTCTTCACTGTTTGTGTTACTACAACCGTGTATATGGTAAGGGGCGCCCAGCGGGAAGGGGCGCTTCAATATCGTTTGCACCCCTATCCTAGAATACCTTCCGCCGCCACTGCTAACAAGTAAAATGTGATTCTATTCAAAGACGATGTTTCTATGAATAGGGTGACGGAGGTACTTACCGAGACGAACATATCTCCTGGGCCGGAGGTTCTCCTGCCAGGCGGCGTGCACGGCCAGCAGCAGACAGCTCAGGCAGCTCAGCAGCAGCAGTGTCGACTGGGGCGCCATCTTTTGACGACCGGAAACACTTGTTCGGCGCCCAACCGTTTGCGAAAGTCGGTGCCGTTCACGAGTCACCAGTGTGACAGTGTGTCACTTTTGCGCACTTTTGAGCAAAAATATGCCCACGCAAAGTGTTCGCCGGCGATTTGATGTCACAAATTCGAGAATCTTAACTCCAAAAAGGTTTTCCCTTTGTCCTAGATAGTAAACAGTAAAATGGTGCTAGCCGTATTTCGTGTCTTATAAAGGTCACGCATAAAGTCGATGCAAGAAAGAGAGGAAGTCACTCTTTCACACTGTCAGAACTGTCCACTCTCAGCTCTCCACATATGTAGTCCAGCCAATCAATAAGAACCGCTGATCATCCACACAGCGAACCACATCATGGGGTCACGGTCCGCTCAACAACGGAGACCTCGAGTCACCGTCTCGACCTCTCCAGAGTCATTTCACATCCACCGGAGTCAGAGTCCTCTCTCAGAGTCCGAGTCTGAAACAGAGAGACCTCTGTCAGTCGCTGTCCGCGTGAGCTGGACGTCATTGTCGATGCAGTCCACCAGACGCCATCGATTCGTCTCCGTCAGCCGGGAAGGCACGAGGCGAGCCGTCCAGGCGGGCCGTCCAGGCGGGGTGCCTCCACCGGGCCGGAATAATGCCGGCACTGTGTATTTAGTGGGGACAAGGGTCCCAATCAGTACAGACGAGGCACGGCGGGCAGGGGAGCTCGTCGAGGAGACATGAACTGAATACTGAGGCGCCGCACCCCGCGGCGGGTCACGCGGGTCACCGGGGGTCAGAGGTCACGGAGGGAGGGTGCGGCGGAGAGCAGCGGGGTCACACAGGGTGGCACAGAGGTCAGACATGAACACTGAAACCTGCTGGTTTTACTGAGGGTGAGTGAAAATCAAACACCTGAGAGCAAATGCATAACGACTGGGAAAGCATACCAGATAGCCCGTTTATATCATAAGCACTAAACCTGAACAATGAACGAATCATGCATCAGCTGCTTACGGTCCAATTCAATGTCCCACATGCACGGAGGCATACCACGCCATCGAATCAGGCAAGCGCACGTATAACAAGCGCCTGCGGTTGGACTCCGTGGGCACGCATCGTCTCAGGTGCAAGAACAGGTAATATGGTCTGGAATTCGGAATGACTCGTCCCCCACAGACGACCTTCCAGGCCCAGCCACGTCACCCCCGAAGGCGTCTGTCGCCATGGGTCTGATTTCTCGAGGGAACCGGACGTTCCAGGTCGGATTTCTCACCACACCGCAAACGTGTTTCATTCACAGCCGGCACAAATGGATCCTCTGCGGCGCCACGAATGTCGAGAACGTGCCTCAAACGCCAACGCGCCACCACCGCCACCCAAACGCTGCGCCATAAAACGTCTCCTCGGCGGCCGATCCGGCGCGGAATTCGACGGCAATAAAGGAGGGATAGGCGCCAGCGAGGTCGGGTTTTGGAGACGCGATCTATCGCAGCCATCCCGAAACCCGATTGTAGAGGCCCGTCTGACATTAAGGTAGGGGCTTTTTCAAGAAAAGATGCCGAGGCGGGACTGCATTCATATGCTAATTTAACTCCCAAACTTCTGTCATGATTCACTTTTGATCCAGTTTGTTCTAGGAGAGTTTGCATGAAATGGCACAAGAAGAATGGGCAACTACGCTGAATTTGAATGGATCTATACGCTGAATAAATGACAGGCCAAATGAGTCATTCCCATGAGAAACAGCACCCACAGAGTCGCATAATTTGCACCTCTAAGTTCGGCCATTGCCGCTCATTATCCAATTAGCGGGGTCCGGGGCGAGGGGCACTGAGGGGGGGGGGCTAGCGTGCTGTTGCCACGACAATTGGAGCGTGCCCTGCACCGCCCAGCGCAGCGAGCCGTCCTCCTCCCCTCCCCTCCCTCCCTACCCCAGGCGTGCGCAGACACATGGCCTCGAAGCACGCGCCCCGCCTGAGGCGAGGCAGCCCGGCGCAGGGCCGGGTGACCGGCCAGCGGGGCGGGGGAGGGGGAGGGACAGCGCTCGACAGACAGGGTAGTGAGAATGGGTGTGGGTGGGTTACAGCAGGACGCTGAAACTTGATATGCGCTATACCGTGCTGAAGCTACTTGGCAAGCAATAAGTCAGCCATTCTATTGAGTAGAAACAAGGCATGGCATCTATGGCTATTCAGTATTCGCAAGAAACAAAAATGTATCATGAGAAAACTGCTCGTGATAATGACAAATCGTTTGGTCGACTGCGCTAACAAATTCCCAGGCAAACCAAACCAAGTGCGAAACGTTTTAATTCGGCAACCTCCAATTGTTCCCATGAAAAGCTACCGGAAACGAAATCCATCAAACCAGACAGGTGGTGGGAGGTTCACGAAATCTTCACCGGGCGACCGGCGCCTTCTCACGAGACAAACAGACGCGACGATAACGTTTCCACCATGCGCACCTCGGTCCCCGGTCAATGGCCCTTTCCCTGCCGTCCCCGTCCCGATCCCCCACGCGTCCCCTCCCCTCCTCTCTCCTCCCCTCTACTCTCCCCAGCGGCCCACAAAGAGGCACTGTCCGCTGTCCTCCCGGGGTGCGGTAGGGAATACTGACGGCCTTCGAACCCGGCCCGGCGCCCATGGCAATGCCATCCGATACATGGGGCTGATGGGTTGATAGGCAAGGACAGTCTAAAACAGGTCCCAGCCAAAGATAGGTCGATGAAATTCGTGCTGAACAAAGTCGTGTTTATGAGTAGTCGTGATTGTGAACCATACGGGTCATTTTCCATTAGTTTCGGCCAAGACTTCTCTATATATTTGGAAAAGTCTCTTCGACGAATCATGTAATCGCAGAGACACCATGTGAGGTTACCGTTGCGGAGTTATTTGACCCTAATTATGACCAATAATAGAATCGTACTTCCAGCTAATCCGGCCAGTTGTATTGATCGGCAGAATTTGTGCCTGGTAATAATGAGAAGATCTCGCGCCAGCAGAGGAAGTTCCGTTTCATGCAAGAAAGTTGGTAATGGTGGTGAATATTGAAACTTGAGCTCGTAAAAACATGATGACTCATCAAAGCTCTTCCAGACAAAGGTCCCCATCACTGAAACGTCGTAAAGATAAGGCAGAGGCCAATAGCACACAGCAAGGATGCCGAGAGAGAGAGAGAGAGAGAGGGAGAGAGAGAGAGAGAGAGAGAGAGAGAGAGAGAGAGAGAGAGAGAGAGAGAGAAGAGAGAGAGAGTGTGAGAGAGAGAGAGAGAAAAAGAGAGAGAGAGAGAGAGAGAGAGAGAGAGAGAGAGAGAGAGAGAGAGAGAGAGAGAGAGAGAGAGAGAGAGAGAGAGAGAGAGAGAGACGTCTGATGACCCCACACAAGAACTACAAACTAACGCCGGAGACTGAGCCCGAGCCCAAGTGGAGATCGATGTCGAAGGCCGGGTACCTGGTAGGGTAAGGCTCGCTTTATGGCCCACTCGGGTCACACTGTAGGTCACGAAGTGTTCGTTTTTCCGTGGCTGGAGTGACGGCTGAAAAAGCGACCCGGGCGGGAGCGAAGGGTCGTCGGAGACGCCCCTGTTTGGGCGCCCGCACAGCGTGAGGTCGGTGGGGGAGGGGCGGGGGGCGGGGGCGGAGGCGGGGCGCGGTGTATATAGGGGGAGGAGGCGGGGTTGTATATGAGATGCCGAGTGCAGGTACACTGTAAATGATGCCCCTCGGAGCTAAAAGCCAGGCGGTTTTGATTATATGAGCACCCGGACCAGGAGAGGCGCGATTGGTGGCGCTCAGGTGCGAAAATACCCGGTGACCTGGTCAAATACAAGGGACGGCGAGTCGTGCCCCAAAGAAACTGGCGATTAAGTCATTGTATACAGCAGGAGAGGTGAAAAGGAAGCAAAACAACAGAACCAAATTATGCGGATTTTAAGTGAGCTTTGTAGTTCGTTTGATAATGTCCCTAAGGACCTTGTCATTATCAACTTAAAACACAAATCCAAGTGTGGTACCTATTGTCACTAATCCAATATTGGCTATTGCAGAAGCCGAGACATAAGAGCAAGCGCCATTAGGTATATCTTACTTTATCGATAGGGTAGCTGTAAATGAATGAGCAAACACAAATGTAATCGCAATTTGCGATTCGAAATTGCACTCGAAGTAGGGACATAAGCTGCAGAGGGTGATATGATTCCATATTTGTTTTTGAGCTGCGCTCAGCAAACCAAACGTTAGCGTGACTTGTCTGCACCAATCATCAGACTGAATAACAACTGTCTGAGTTGACATCCAGGCCCGTGCTAATATTGAGCCTTGCATGCCTTGAAACGCAGCAAAAGGTTCGTACCTAATAAGATGCAATGTTTAAAGGCACTTCGGGTTCAGCGCCGAATTCGATCGCGGACGCGATCACCTAACTTCCGCCACTAAAATGTAAAAGAACACGATAAAATGAGGTAGCTCACAAGCAGCGAACATTATTTCTACACTACAAAAGCAACGATACTTCTCTCTAGCCTCTCAGTCAATGAAGAACTTCCTACTTCAAGCCGACAAGCATGCGCAAAACCCGGTGCCGGTTGGCGGTTCAGTACCTAGACTGAACGTCTGATCCTATACTTTTGATCCCGTTTAATAGGCTTGTGGCTCAGGAAGACCCATTCCGACCCGTTTTCGTCTGCCCCTGGCGCACGGTATACCGCGTCAGCTGTAGTACCGGTAGGGGCTAGTCGGTATTGAAGCCACAGCGGACGCAAGGTTCTTTATTCCTTTCTGGTGTCGGTTTTAATTAACAAATGCTGGTAGGATGGTACGGTTATGAGATGAAGAATCATGGAATGCGTGACGGCAGACGCACAAAAACGCTAGTTGACACAGTTTTGTGCACACATCCAGGGCTATACAACAAGACCCACGCCTTCGACAAGCCATATCAATACAGCCTCCTCCAATACAGAAAATCAATAACCTCACACACAAGCATTTCACGCCGCCAACATCATCCTACTCACCATTTTCGGCCCATCATCCCAGCATCAGCTCTCGTTCACTCGCAGGCGTTCCCTCCCAGCACACACCACGCCCGCACCACTGTACCGCGTCTGCCTCCGTTCCTCGCACCGTCGCGTCGCAGCCGCCGCGCGCACCACGTCTCGTCGAAGACCAGCTGCGCGCGCCGGCGCCGTACCCCACCACCCCGGCGCGGGCCGCCGGCTGACGGCTGTATGCGTGTCTGTCGGACGGTTCCGTCGGCTGAGCGCTGGCAGAGACATCTGTGGGTGGTGAGAGAAAGTTGCGGTGAGGGACTTTGGTGCTAGATGACCATTGACCTGAGGAGAGTGGCACAAGAACCCGTTTTACATAGCATATTTGACAAGGCTCTGGCTCGTTAACCCGCGCCCCACTGGGGTCTGTGTATAACACGCCCTACTGGGGGGGGGCTATTCATAGCCCCCCCTCCTAACTCCGAAACTACTGGGCCGATCGTCAAAATTCAAACGGCGTCTGATAGCCCCGGAAAAACTGTCGAGCGAAACCTAATTTCATTGACCTCGAGGTCACCGATGACGTCACAGGTCAGGTCAAAGTAAAAATTATTAGCACTTTGGCTTGTTCACCTTTTGGGCTCTGGCCGCCGTCTTACAAGTCAGATCAGGCTCATTTTTGGTTTCCACACTCGTGAACAGATGCTCTAGATACCTTGAGGGTACCAAACTTGTAATTTGATTTTCAGGTCAGGGTCAGGTCATCACAGGTCACGAAAATATTATGTCATGCGTCGGTCACGTGACACATGTTTTATGGTCCATTTAGGCCATAGATTTCGAATTTGATGTCGTGTGTGTCATTCAAGGTCATTTTGAGTCGAAATTAGCTTAGGTCAGGTCACTTTCAGGTCAAAAAAGGTCAAATTTTGAAGTTGAAATTTTTCAACAAAAAAGGTGTCTATTGGATGCAGTTTGAGCTCAGGAACACGATGGTGCCATTTATATTGGTGTACGATGCCAAATACGTACTGAAAAATTGATTTGAAAAATTAATAATTGTGAATTTTTTGCAATAATGCGTATAACTTGGCCATTTTTGAAGATATTTAGCTAAAACTTGCTAGAGTTAGTCATAATCATGCGTTCTGTCACATATATTCCGGTTTTTTCGAAAAGTCAAAAACTTTTTGAAAAAAATATAAAAATATAAATTTTGAATATTATTATAAAAATTTTCGAAATTTTCAAAATTTTGAAAATCCGAGATAGCAGTTTGATGGCGCGGTCAATTCTGAGTCCTTTCATGCAAAGAAATTGGATCTACCTTAAAAACTGAGCTCTTGGGAGCGATTGCCGTGGTTCAATGTTTTGCGTCGAAATCGGACGAACATGACGTCACTCTGACGTCATTTCCGGCCGACCTATGGTAGCTACGAAGTTCAAATTTTGACACAAGGTGTCAAATTGATGCAGCCGAAGGTACTGAAAGTTTGGCGTCGATTCGTCAAGCGGTTTGGAAGTTATTGCAGAAAAACGGGAGGGGGGGCTATAAATAGCCCCCCCCCCCCAGTGGGGCGCGGGTTAATTTGGCGATAATTTCGATGCAGTGGTCTACAAATATTCAGAGGGGATCATTTTGTAAATTGTTAAGCACCATTGGCATCTTTTGCAACGAGGGACGGAGATATAAGCTTGCAACAAACCCTATGTAAACCGGGTTAAGGTGACAAGTGGGGCCTCGGTCAAAATTATAATTAGTTTAAAAAAAAGATGGTAGCTGATATTTCCAGTGCATTTTCAAAACATCTTGCTATTTTCCACAAGAATGATGAGAAGAAAAACAGTCACGAAACGATATCTGCCACCAATTTATTAGCATTGTCTCATCTCACCAGAAATAAGCATCAAAGCCACATAATGTTTCGCTACTTCGCTAGAACTAATATCATGTTGCTGTAGGCTCCATTTTACTGCAACTTTTATTTCTGCATGCTGCAGGCCGCCTGCACCAACAAATGTCTCTTGGAGTCGGCCACAGCAAGAACGGCATGCTGTTCACGGCTCAGCCGGCGCTCGGAGGTGCTGCCACCTGACGATGTCTGAACGCCTGGTGGCCAGAATACGAAACTGACCTCTCCTCCGAATCTCATGCAGTCAATTGCCACTCGTGAGTCGTGACCCTTGCGACACACGACAAATGAAAAGCACTGACATGGTCACTCATCCGTCCCAATGTCCTCGGGACCAAAACATTCACATTCCAAATCTCCTCTTACATTACCGTGTCCTGACTGATTGAGGCATTGCCTCTCGGATCCCCTGTGTGGCTGCGACTAGTGATGTCAATTACGGAAAATTGAAATACCGATACCAAACCAAATACCAACCAAAACCGTGGAGAAATACCGAAACCAAACCAACTTGGGAACATAAGGAAAATACCAACTTTTTACCGATTTCTTAGCCTTTTAAACATTAGCGAGGGTCCATGATACCAACAAAATACCAAACACATTAGGATTGAACCACCAAATACCGAGTTGGTATCGGTTTGGTATCGGTATACCAAAAAGTTGATATCCGATTGACATCTCTAACTGCGAACATCTCTCATTAGGTTTTATTTAACCTTCTTTGAAATTTGAAATGCTTGACCGATGCTCTTTTTTTGGGCTAGGCAACCTAAAAGGTAGTGTTTGCCGGTTTACATAGCCAGAGCTCCGTTCGCCATCCCCCACAACCGTCGTGCCCCGTTCACCATTTTATGTCTGTGCCAATGCTGACCCAGCTTCAGGTCGGAGCTGCCCTGAGGCGACCAATCAGAAGCCGGCGTGCCCAACACACGGGCCCTGTTCGGTTGCTGTTTTTTATATCAGCGTGCTGTCGGTTTTCCCCATATAAGGAAGTTATTGCTGGCGCTTCTTGGCCTCTCATTAGTCTAACGAATAGACCACTTGAATTCGGCCAATGAGGAGCCAAGACGTAGCAGCATGGTCGCAGCCTGCTGATAAATAAACGGGGTGCGAACAGAGCTCAGATCGCACTATAGGCAACGGCTGGAGCAGCTCATTACAACCCGGCACTCCGGCTAGAAACAGGAGCGGCGAGGCTCCACCCGAACTGGCTTGGAGAGGGCCTGGAATGGCCGAGAGAAATTTCAAACTTGATGAAAAATTACTGCGGTATGTTGCGCAGACTGAATAATACAATATTATTAATTCCTGAGGTGGCGCGTCTATGTAGTTAGGTAAGTAGCATGGCTAAGCAAAGGCCTTAACCCGCGCCCCACTGGGGTCTGTGTATAACGCGCCCTACTGGGGGGGGGGGGCTAGCCCCCCTCCTAACTCCGAAACTATTGGGCCGATCGTCAAAATGCAAACGGCATCTGATAGCCCCGAAAAACTGTTTGTAGACTAGAAATCTAATTTCATTGACCTCGAGGTTACCGATGACGTCACAGGTCAGGTCAAAGTAAAAATGATCGATGTTTGGCTTGTTCACATTTTGGGCTCTGGCTGCCGTATTACAAGTCAGATCAGGCTGATTTTTGATCAGGCAGGTAATCAGCCACAATAGTGAGCACCCTTGGCCTCCATATAGCCCTGACCTCTCTTGCCTCGATTTCAGCATCTGGTCTAGCATCTCCAGTAAGGTCTACAAAGCTAAGCCAGGGACGATCGAGCAGTTAGAGGAGATTGTGGAGGACACTGTCAGAAATATGAGCCCAGAAAGGCTCCGGAAAATTGCCCGCCACACGAGGAGGCGTGCGTGGTTCAAAAGGGCGGTCTTTTCGAGCAGTTCCTATTGGCCGTTTTCACGACGGAATAGCAGGCATCTATTTAATCCCCATTTGATCCTTTGGTTCCTCAGGAATTTTAGTAGTTCTTTTTAGTAGGTTCCCCAGCTTTCGAATGAATGGTGCGTTAGTTTGCTATTTTTCTATTAAATATCACATCGATTTACTTTATCTAAGGATTTATCACTAATATCAACATAAAGCGTAAGCACAATTATAAAATTATGAAATTACTAAATACTAATACAATAGTTAAAAAAAGATACTGAGTTGCCAGGCTACAAAGAATATATTCATTTATGGCGCACGACAGACATTTAGAAAGCAGCGCCCTGTTTTATTTCACGCTGCTAGCCGCTTCCATTGGGTTTTGCAGGCCGTCGTCATTGGTCGTTACACGTATGATGTCACGCGACTTGTGGCCTGTCACGGCTCTTTAATGATCTCCACTAAATGAATGCAACAATGGCCTTTTAAGTTGATCTCTGTGGCCATCTGTCTATGGAGCGACCAATATGAAAGTTGGGTGAATTTACCGGGGTTACATGACTATGAGCAAGCAAATGTGTATCAGGAATGGATTTAGGTGGAGAATTGCGCTGGACCATGAGTGCTCGAACGCTCCCAATTCCACGCCGGTTTGGCTTTGGAGCCGAGACAGACGATGCGGGTCAAGGTCACCGCTGGGGTAACGGTGGATTGGGTGCGCCCGAGCACCCGTAACACGGCACAATTCTCCATCTATGGATTTTCCTATTCGCTCAGCATTGTGATAGGCGTTCGTAATAGCATTTACTCTGCTCATGTACCTATCCCCGGTTATTTAAAAGAAGTTTTTGTGGGGGAATATCACGGCTTTAGGTACTCGGTGGCCCTATTCACGACTTTCAAAGAATGCTCCGATAACTAAACACCGCACAGACCTACTGCATTAGTGAATCTGACAGAATGTCTGTGGAATTACATCCCCCCTCACCACACCCCTAAAAACTCATCCAGTGTCCAAAATCACTTTTATCGACTCGCCAAAAAAAAAAAACACACACACACACACACAAAGCATGGGGCATGTCAGCTCTCAGTTCATTTATTATTGTCTTTACCATGGTTCAATTGCATTGCGCGATTTAAAGCACGTGAGTGCCTATATAGAATATATGTAGAAAATAATATCTACAGCAAAACATCCAAAATTACAAAGGCTACAATGCTTAAAAAGTAGGTTCATCAAGGAAGCCCATTTTTACTTGCGTTGTGTTCCCAACCATGCGATTCCAACGCGGGCTATTCGCAACGTCTGTTAAGGCACGTTAACAACTGACAAGCCGCCACCGCTGCCACTTATTCATAGATGGTTGATATCGCAGCTTGGGCGTCAGCAGCGCGGCCCACAACGCGTCGGCGCCAGCGCACGCAGCTGTTGG